TTTACATACTTACTTAGTGCCTGTGCACTTGGCTTTATTCTTGAACTTTGTCGTCTTCTTCACTATTTTTCTCTTTTTTCATTCAATCCTCTGGCTTTTTTTTTTCCTTTCTAGCTCTTTTGCTTTTCTCCATCATTGTTCCAAGCTTTCAAGCTCTGCAATTGTTTTCGTTCCTCTCTTCCGGTGAAGCTTACGTTTATTCTGTCATTTTCGCATCCGTCGTCAGACTTCGACAATTCTCATTCCGGCTTCCCTCTTTCTAGTAAGCCACTTTTCCTCCTGGTTTTACTTCTTGTTGCTTTCCAAGAAGCTCTGCTTCATTGTTAACCACCATTGTTGTTTTACCCGTTGTTTCCAAATCATCTTCTTGAATATACACTGTTCACATATCTGTTGATTTCTGCCACTATTCTTGGCTTGACACACCTGTACAATCTTTTTGTCTTGATTTCCTGATAGCTTCATCACCACTTTTGATTTACGAATTACATTCTTGTTTCTGTTTTATGTGTCTTTTCCCAGAGTTTTGCTTTCAAACCTTGCTTTCAAAACGCCGAGGTGCCAATCGCCGAGAAAAACTTTGATCAAACTCTTCAGGAGATTGATGCTGAGCTCGTGGCTGAGAAGGCTGCTGAGAAGTTCTTTCCAACTGTCTTCTGGGGGTGAGACACAACCTGCCACTGATGCCGAGTTGTTTGCTTCTTTCTTGAAATTGATGCCGAGGTAACGGTAGAGAAGCTCCTCCAACTGACTGCCGAGGCTGAACCATCGTCGTTCGTCGAAGCAGATCAGTCCGACGTTATTGCTTTCAGTCCCTAGTTCTTTAAGGTCTTTGTTTTTGTACTTGCCAACCTTCTCAGCTCTTAACAAGCTAGTTGGTCATCTCGGATGATCATATCTCGGAAACGTCTTTCAGTGTTATCTCGGCTATACCAAACTTGTAAATTGCTACAAATTTCAACAAGTGGTAGACTTCATAATCTTCGGTTAACTCATCTTGTAATTTGATCAAAAATTTCAACAAGTGTTAACATTCCTTGCTCCTTAATTATCATTCCTTCCCTCTGCACCTTCTCCATGCCCCCTAATGTGAACATAAGTTGTACTTAGGATCACATTAGGGAAGTTGGCTTCGTGCCGTAGTCACAGACCTGATGTGTTCTGCTTTCACCAATGTATTAAAACTTCTAGTATTTAATGCACCCCCTTTAGACCCTCTTTCTCTTGGCCTTTGCAAACTATCATCGCTGTTTCTTGAAACATTTATTCCTTTCACAATTCTGGTCACCACTTCTGGTGTGCATTTAGTGGTTCTGTTCTAATCAAAACGACGTTTGACTCCGGCGAATCTTTTGCCGACATTTAACTTTGTGCACTCTCAGAATTTCAACATGTGTTAAACATCATTTCGTTTTAACTTCGGTTTAAACATCATCTCGGCTTAACTTCGGTTTAAGCATCATCTCAGTTTAACTTCGGTTAAACATCATCTCGGCTTAACTTCAGTTAAGCATCACTTTAGTTTAAATTTCAACAAGTGTTAAACATCATTTTGTTTTAACTTCGGTTTAAGCATCATCTCCATTTAACTTTTGGTTAAACATAATCTCGGCTTAACGTCGGTTAAGCATCATCTCAGTTTAACTTCGGTTAAATATCATCTCGGCTTAACTTCGGTTAAGCATCACTTCAGTAAACATCATCTCAGTTTAACTTCGGTTAAACATCATCTCGGCTTAAGTTCGGTTAAGCATCACCTCAGTTTTTGAAGTTTTTCCTTTTTTGTCGCTTGTACTCTTGTACCTTTTTGTTTTTTTTAGACAATGTAAGCTTTGCATATGGTCGATGTGCCTCCTTGTTCTTGAATATCTAATGCAACTTTCCTTCTCTGAATGCTTGTGTCTTTGTCTTTTCTTAACGTCATCTTGTAAATTGCTACAAATTTCAATAAGTGTTAAGCATCTTCTTCGGGTTAACCAACTTGTAAATTTCTACAAGCGTTTAACCAATAACCTCGGCTTTACTTCGGCTTGTAAATTGCTACAAATTTCAACAAGTGTTTAACAATATACTTAGCTTTTACTTCAACCTGTAAATTGCTGCAAATTTCAACGGATGATCATATGTCGGCTTAACGTCATCTTGTAAATTGCTACAAATTTCAATAAGTGTTAAGCATCTTCTTCGGGTTAACCAACTTGTAAATTTCTACAAGCGTTTAACCAATAACCTCGGCTTTACTTCGGCTTGTAAATTGCTACAAATTTCAACAAGTGTTTAACAATATACTTAGCTTTTACTTCAACCTGTAAATTGCTGCAAATTTCAACGGATGATCATATGTCGGCTTAACGTCATCTTGTAAATTGCTACAAATTTCAATAAGTGTTAAGCATCTTCTTCGGGTTAACCAACTTGTAAATTTCTACAAGCGTTTAACCAATAACCTCGGCTTTACTTCGGCTTGTAAATTGCTACAAATTTCAACAAGTGTTTAACAATATACTTAGCTTTTACTTCAACCTGTAAATTGCTGCAAATTTCAACGGATGATCATATGTCGGCTTAACGTCATCTTGTAAATTGCTACAAATTTCAATAAGTGTTAAGCATCTTCTTCGGGTTAACCAACTTGTAAATTTCTACAAGCGTTTAACCAATAACCTCGGCTTTACTTCGGCTTGTAAATTGCTACAAATTTCAACAAGCGAAGATAAGGAATCAGCTTAACTCCAACTTATAAATTGCTACAAATTTCAACAAGCGAAGATAAGGAATCGGCTTAACTTTGACTTGTAAATTGCTACAAATTTCAACAAGTGAAGATAAGGAATCAGCTTAACTCCAACTTGTAAATTGCTACAAATTTCAACAAGTGAAGATAAGGAATCGGCTTAACTTCGACTTGTAAATTGCTACAAATTTCAACAAATGAAGATAAGGAATCGGCTTAACTTCAGTTAAGTATCATCTCGGCTTAACTTTGGTTAAGCATCGCTTCGGTTTAACTTCGGTTAAACATCATCTGGGCTTAACTTCGGTTAAGCATTATTTCAGCTTAACTTCGGTTAAGTATCATCTCGGCTTAACTTCGGTTAAGCATCGCTTCGGTTTAACTTCGGTTAAACATCATCTGGGCTTAACTTCGGTTAAGCATTATTTCGGCTAAACTTCGGTTAAGTATCATCTGGGCTTAACTTTGGTTAAGCATCGTATTGGTTTAACCAACTTGTAAATTGCTACAAATTTCAACAAGTGGTAAACGCACTCTTCTTCTCTCTGCCCCCCCAGTGTGAACTTAAAATCCACTTGGGATCATACATGTAGCTTCAACCTTGTCGCCGAGGTTTAATTCAAGCCGAGGTTGTCGGCCTTGGTTTTTTTATTGATCTTACTTGGCTCCAACCTGAGTTTGATTTTCGGCCTCGCATCGGCGAGCCGTTTCTCTTTTCTTATTCCGACGCCTTTGTTCCCGGCATGTCCTCCTCGGCCTTAGCATACTTCTCAATTTTGGCCAACTTTAGTCTGATTTTGTGTGTTTCCTTTTTATCTTCTGGGATCTAAGATCTGCTCATTGTGCTCTTCTCTTCTCGGACTCAGGTGCCGAGATCTTATCTTCTGGAATCTTAGATCTGCTCGTCAGGTTGAGATCTTCTATACTTGAATGTTATCTCCTTGGAAGCGCTCATGCCCTCTGTCTTTGCATCCCTTCTAGAAGGGTCTTCGTTTCTTCGCAGGTATCTATCTTTCCATACCTGGAGGTCATCTTCGTTGTAGTATCCGCTTCGATCTGTTGTCTTTGGTGCGTCACTTTCTTGGCCGGCGTCTTTCACTCCGTGACTCTGGTCACGAGTTTCTGTGTTGCTATTGTCCCCTTTAATGTCGAGCTTGATAGATCTCCCATTCCCAGCAGGAGCGTTGTCTCTAGTCTGATCCTTCTGTCCGTCATTGGCCATCTATTCTTTTTTCTTTCCCACAGACGGCGCCAAATTGTGTGGGTGATTTTCCGACCACACTGCCCGCTTAGTAACCAACTGGAGAGCACTGGCAGAATAGATGGCACTTGACTGACCTGCAACAGAAATATAAGAATCCCGCGGTGGTTTCGACCACCCGGGGGCACTCCGACGATCAAGTCAGTATATCTCTCAAAGATAAATCAAGTACTAAACTCACAAGCTTGAGTATCAAAAGGATACCTTAGACCCATGGGGGTGCCTCTCTTTTATAGCCAATACAATCCTAGTCCCAATAGGAGTCTAGCCCTAATGGACTTAGGATTATTGCTAATCTGGGACTCCTAGTGGGATTAGGATAAACTCTCTAAGAGTCTTATCTTTACCCAAACTGAAGTCTTCTCCCAATCTAGGACTCTTGTCCATATCCAAGTTGAGTTCCCTCTCCATTTTAGGACTCTTGTCCCTTATCCTCTTATCTCGGATTCCGATATCTTCGGAGGCAACCTCGACCTAGCCGAGATTACCTCAGCACAACGACCAAGACACGTGGCACCTCGGCTGACACGTCGGCGTCACCTTGCCACGTGTTGGTACTCAGAAAATATATCTCCACACTTTGAAACTGACAAATTTTAAAAAAAATCACATTATTTTATAAACATAATTCTATACTTCTTTATTTTCAAAGTGAAAATTTTCACAATTTTAGTTCGAAAAAGAGAAATTCCGGAGTTTTGAAATTGAGAAATTTCAGGAGTAGTTGACTTGACCATCTAAATCGATAGATAGTGAAAAGTGAAAAACAGAGTCAACTTCATTCATCCATTTTTACTCAGCTTTATTGATTGGAAGAACCACGCATACCTCGTACAATAGTAATCCAAACATTTACCAAATAATTTTCAATTGTTCAAGGTGTTAGTACTCTGTATCAATTTTTTATGATTATAATAAATGTTAAAATTAGATAATTTTAACAATACTTAGAGGGACATGAGGATCTCGAGCATTTCTTTTGGGATCTATGGCAGAGAAGACTGTGTAAACAAGGACAAAGGTACCGATAATCTCAGCTGCGAGTCCGGTACCGATGCTGTACCCAGCAGAGAGCTCGTTGGCTCCACCTCCATAATTGACATAGTATGCCTTTTGGAATGACTTCACCAACCCACATCCACAAATGGCCCCTAAGCACTGAGCCACCTTGTACATGATGGCTCGGACCAAAGACACCTTCCGAGCCAAGAACAACCCAAGAGTCACAGCCGGGTTAATATGCCCTCCTGCATACATTTCCACCAAAACCATCATCAATGTAAGTTTGGTAGAGAGAGAGAGAGAGAGACTGAATGAAGTGTATTTGTTATATTCAGTATATGTTTACAAGGTGAAGATGATTCTCATTTATAGAGAGGAGAACCGAAAGAAGAAATAAACAACATAATTAAAGCTATGCACTATGTAGACATAATAATGAAAATGTGTCTATACATCCTTTACAGCTTACAACTAATGTATATAATATATACTAACATCCCCCTGCAAACTCAAGGAGGGTAGGCATC